GAACATGTGGTATTTGTCCCTTTGGGATTGGCTTATTTCACTCAGCATAATGTTTTCCAAATTCCTAACAGGGAGAAATGTTCCTTGTAAACTCAATTTGCTTAAGAGTTTTATCCTGAAAAGATGTTGTATTTTATCGAATGATTTCTCTGCTTCCATTGAGATAATTATATGATTTTTATTCTCTAGTTTGTTAATTGGGTGTTCATTGCAGAGCTCTTTTACCTCCTTGGTTGAATTTATTTCAAATTCAAATTTTTCAAATTTTCAAATCAAATTTATTGATTTGCATATGTTGAGTCATCCCTGAATATAGGGATAAATAATTCTTGTTCAGGGTGAATGATATTTTATTTTATTTTATTTTATTTTATTTTATTTTAACTTTTATTTAAGAATCTAAATTTCCAAAGTACAGTTTATGGATTACAATGGCTTCCCCCCCATAACGTCCCTCCCACCCACAACCCTCCCCTTTGCCTCTCCCTCCCCACTTCCATTCACATCAAGATTCATTTTCAATTCTCTTTATATACAGAAGATCAGTTTAGCATACATTAAGTAAAGATTTCAACAGTTTGCTCCCACATATAAACACAAAGTGAAAAATACTGTTTGAGTACTAGTTATAGCATTAAATCACAATGTACAGCACATTAAGGACAGAGATCCTACATGAGGAGTAAGTGCACAGTGACTCCTGTTGTTGACTTAACAAATTGACACTCTTGTTTATGGCATCAGTAATCACCCTAGGCTCTTGTCATGAGCTGCCAAGGCTATGGAAGCCTTTTGAGTTCACCAACTCTGATCATATTTAGACAAAGCCATGGTCAAAGTGGAAGTTCTCTCCTCCCTTCAGAGAAAGGTACCTCCTTCCTTAATGACCTGTTCCTTTTACTGGATCTCATTCGCGGAGATCTTTCATGTAGGTTTTTTTTTTTTTTTTTCTCCCCCAGAGTGTCTTGGCTTTCCATGCCTGTAATACTCTCATGGGCTTTTCAGCCAGATCTGCATGCCTTAAGGGCTGATTCTGAGGCCAGAGTGCTGTTCAGGACATCTGCCCTTCTATAGGTCTGCTGTGTATCTCACTTCCCATGTTGGATCGTTCTCTCCCTTTTTTATTCTATCAGCTAGTATTTGCAGACACAAGTCTTGTTTATGATCTTTCTGATGTGTTGTTGGATTTAATTAGCTAATATTTTCTATGTTCATCTAGGATATTGATCTGTAGTTTTATTTCTTTGCTGTGTCTTTTTTTTTCTGGTTTGGTTTAAAGTAATGGTGACTTCATATGAGGAGTTGGGGAGGATTCCCTCCCTTTCATTTTTTTTAATATCTTGAGAAGAATAGTAATTTGTTCTTTAAATAACTGGTAGAAGTCAGCAGGGCAGCCATCCATGCTCAATTTTTCTTTGTTTAGACAATTTTTGTTACTGATTCAGTCTCCATCTTGGTTATTTGTCTGCTTAGTAGTTCTATGTCTTCTTGACTCAATTTTGGTAAATTGTCAGTGTCCAGGAATCTATCCATTTCTTGTATATCTTCTAATTTGTTGGCATATAGCTCTTTGTTATAATATCTGATGATTCTTTTTTATTTATGTGGTATCCATTGTTACATCTCCTTTTTCATCTCTTATATTATTGATTTTGGCCATCCCTCTCTTTTTTATTTTTGTTATTTTGGCCAATCATATATCAATTTTGTTCATTGTTTCAACAAATAGCTCTTAATTTTGCTTACCTTTTGTATTTGTTTCTATTTTATTTATTCTCTAATTTTAATTATTTCTTTACTTAAATTAACTTTAAGTTTTGTTTGCTATTTTTTTAGGTATTTGAGATGCATTGAAAGCTCATTTATTTGATGCCTTTCCAATTTCTTGATTTAGGCACTAATTGCTATAAACTTCCTGCTTAATACTGCTTTTGCTGTATCCCGTAAGTTTTGATATGTTGTATTATCATATTCATTCATTTCTGGAAATTTTTGGTTCCCCTTTTGATCTCTTCTAAAACCCACTGTTCAGTAAAAGCATGTTATTTGGTCTCCATATGTTTTCTTTTTTTCTGGAAATTCTTAAGTTATTAATTCTCAGCTTTGTTCTATGTGTTCAAAAAATATACATGATATGAATTCAATATTTTTGAGTTTGCTGAGACTGACTTTATGACCTCCTATATGAGTTCTATCCTAGAGAAAAGTCCTTGCACTGATTAAAAAATGTGTATTTTTAACTGTGGCATGAAATGTTCTGTAAATTTCAATTAGGTCCATTTAGTCCATAGTTAAGATTGATTTTATTGTTTGTTGATTTTTCTGCCTGATTGATCTGTCCATTGATGAAAGTAGGGTATTGATGTTTCCCATTACTATTGTATTGGAGTCTTTGCCACTCTTTATATCCATTAACATTTGTTTTTTTTTCAACTTTTATTTAATGAATATAATTTCCAAAGTACAGCTTATGCATTACAGTGGCTCCCCCCCATAACTTTCCTCCCACCCCCTGCTCTCTCTCCCCTTCCATTCACATCAAGATTCATTTTCAATTCTCTTTATATACAGAAGATCAATTTAGTATATATTAAGTAAAGATTTCAACAGTTTGCACCCACACAGAAACACAAAGTGAAAAATACTGTTTGAGTACTAGTTATAGCATTAAATCACAACATTAACATTTGTTTTAAATAACCAGATTCCTTGGTGTTGGGTACATATATATTTATTATAGCTACATCTTCCTATTGAATTGATCTCTTATTACATAATGTTCTTCTTGGTCTCTTTTAACAGATTTTGTGTTAAAGTCTATTTTGTCTAATATTAGGATGGCTACACCTGATCATTTTTGCTTTCCATTATCATGGGGTACTTTTTCTATCTTTCACTTTCAGTCCATATTTATATTTGTTGAGGGGGTATGTTTCCTGTAGGTAGCAAATAAATGGGTCTTGTTTTTTAATCCAGCCATCCAGCCTGTATTTTTTAATTGGAGAATTTAGGCCATTTATATCCAACCTTATTATTGATAAATAATGATTTGGTCCTACAGTTTTTTAAAGATATACTTTTTTTTGAGAGGCAGAGTTACAGACAGAGAGAGGGAAAGATGGAGAGAGGTCTTCCACCCACTGGCTCACTCCCCAAATGGCTACAATAGCTGTATCTGTGCCAATACAAAGTCAGAGGCCAGGAATTTCTTCCAGGTCTCCCACATGGATGCAGGGGCCCAAGCCCTTGAGCCATCTTCCACTGTTTTCCCAGGAACATTAGTAGGGAGCTGGAAAGGAAGTGCAGCAGCCAGGACTTGAACTGGTGCCAATATGGGATACCTGCACTGGAGGTAGAGGCTTAAACTAATGCAGTGGACCCCTTACCATTTTTCATATATTATTTCAACACCTCAGTTTACTATCTGAAAAGGAAGATTAGAATGCCTTTCACCATTCTTCAGAATGAATTTAAGTAATGCAATTATATGAACACTGGCTATTTGGTACAGAGATCATGCCATTAAGCTTTGTACACCCTGCATTTCTGTTCTTCTTAAGAAACTTACAGAATATAAAATTTAAATACCAAATACAAATATTATTGTTTTGAAGATAGTAAATGTTTTTTTAGCTCTCTGTGGTCATAAAAAACAATTGTATACTGTTTTCTGAATCTTTAGTCCTTCTAAATCCATTGACTATATTACTGTATCCCAGAGCCTGGGCATTTAATTAATCATCAGCAAAATGACATAATTGTTATGTTTTTCTTGTGAATGTTGTTAGTATACATTGTTTGCAATTTGTCATATCTTGCTAACTCCAACTCATCAGTTTCACGTTCTGTAGAGATATCTAGCATTTATTTAAATAGAAGCCTACTTCAAAAAGTTCATGGAAAGTGCAATTAAAAGTTATATTTATTTTGGCATAAAGTATTTGAAATCCACACTTTTTTTAATAACATGATTTTTCATGGACTTTTTGAGGATCCTCATCTACATAAATTTCAAAAAGTCATCACCCAAATAAAATCATCATTTGATTCTACTTTTCTGGGAAACTTTTGAACTGCTCTTATTCTAGAACTCTGTTAATGCACAGATTTGCTACAATTAAGTATCTAGTACATGTGTAAGAAGGTCAAAGAAGAGGAAATATGTAATTCCAGAAGGCAACTGATTCAGGGAACTAAATACTAGGTGCAGGACTACCATTGTGGCATAGCTGGTTAAGCTGCCCCATGCAATGCCTGCATCTCATATTGAAGTTCCAGCTCCAGTACTGGTTCCTGTACTTTCAGTCCAGCTTCCTGCTAATGGACCTGGGAAAGCAGTGGAAGATGGACTAAGTATTTGGTTGTCTGCCACCAATGTGTGAGACCCAGATGGAATTCTGTGAGCCTGACTTTCGTCTGGCTTAGTTCTGGTTGTTGTGGCTATTTGGTTAGTGAACCAGTAGAAAGATATCTCTTCTTTTGCCCCAGTCAAATCAGTCAATCAATAAATCAATCAATCAATAAATAAATAGCTTGGTATTTTCCAGTGGCCATTGATGATTTTTGTTTCCCATTCTATCCATATATTGCTTTGTATTTTTCTCTTTCTTTTGCAGGACATTAATTTACTCATGTATTTCTCTGAATAAAGTATTTTTAAAAGTGTGCCAGATTTTTTCCTACTGGAAAACATCAGCTGTTAATTTGAATTGGTATTGATGGTGCACACTTGATTGGCACTTGTCTTATTAGTACTAGGGAGTGTTTTTTCATGATCTAAGGAAAAGTATTTTGTTTCTACATTAAGAAAGGTTAAATCTGCTTTGGCTGTGAGCACTTTGTCAAGTAGCTTCACCTCCCTGGTTCTGTCTTCCCCAGTCTATAAAAGAAAGATGAGGGCCTCAATATTTAATATTTCCAGCTGTATAACATCCTATAGTTATATGATAAACCATGTACACTTAAGGAAGCATTTATGTAGGGGTCTGTTCACATTCCAGATGCCCAGACTCTACTCGCCCTGAAACTGTGCGCCCCTGTTTCCTCCCATGCAAAAAAGATTGTATTGTGACTGCGTTCAGCGAGTGGACACCCTGCCCGAGTCTGTGCCAATCAGGTGGGTGAATACAATTTTCCAGTGCTTTCTCTCCTAACTCTCTGTTTTCTCACTGCTAAAAATGTAAGAGTTCTTCTTTTCCATTTACATGTCATCCTGGGTACAAAGTTGGTAAAAGTTTGTAATTGGAATTTCGTGTTTCCAGATCCATCCTAACTTAAGAAGAAAACATATTAGGTCTTATATTTCATGATTTCAGTGATAGGTACTGCAGGAAAACTCACCTTCTACCAACCTTACTGTGGCATTTGGGGTATCTTCTCCAACAAGATTTCTCAGAGAGCATCATCACCATCCCAGTTTCTGTGTGGCCCCAGTATCCTTGGACCCTGATTCCGGGCACTTTCATGAGGATATAAAGTTTAAGTACCATGCTTACATTGCTTATGAATACATATGTGTAAGAAAACAAAAGCAGATACACTAGAGTGCTAAATGACTATAGAAACTGGCAACAAAGGATTTATACTTTTAAATGTACAATGGCGAAGCTTTATATACCTAAGTGTGTAGAAAATGCACCTAAAATTGTTACTAGGATACTTAATACCTAAATGAACAGACAAGGCTGCATTAACTCTAGATTTGGAGCCACAATTACAGCTTTAGGACTAAGAGTATTGTACCTCTTTCACATGGACTGGTTCATTAGAGAATTACACTAAGCTCTGGGGAAAAGACCTGTTCTAAAAAGAGAATCATTTCTCCAGTGCCTATTGCAGTTCCCTAATGGACTACTCCATGTAAAAGAGGTACAATATTCTTAATCTTAAAGCTGTAATGTGGCTCCAAATTTGGAGTTAATAAATCAATTCTTTTTTCCTTGTCTTGTACACCAGCCTTGGATATCATTGCACTGCCATGGTCAGGAAAGAGAAACCCAGAAAAGGCAGCACAGAAAGAACGCTAGTTTTTTTTTTTTTTTTTTTTTTTTTTTTTTTTCAGGTCTTTTTTTTTTTTTTTTTTTAACTTTTATTTAATGCATATAAATTTCCAAAGTACGACTTATGGATTCGATGCTTTCCCCCGATACGTCCCTCCCAACCACAACCTCCCGTTTCCACTCCCTTTCCCCTTCCATTCACATCAAGATTCATTTTCGATTATCTTTATATACAGATCAGCTTAGTATACATTAAGTATGGATTTCGACCAGTTTGCTCCCACACAGAAACATAAAGTGAAAAATAATAGATGATTTTTTTAAATGATGATGGAAATCAGAGCAGACCTATTTGTCATGTTTTATTCCAGTGAGAGTCAAGTTGGGATCGATAATTTCTTTCTTTTTTTTTTTTTTTTTTTTTTTTTTTTTTTTTTTTTTTTTTTTTTTTTACAGAGGATCAGTTTAGTATGCATTAAGTAAGGATTTCAACAGTTTGCACCCCCATAGAAACACAAAGTGAAATATATTGTTTGAGTACTCGTTATAGCATTAAATCTCAATGTACAGCACATTAAGGACAGAGATCCTACATGAGGAGTAAGTGCACAGTGACTCCTGTTGTTGACTTTACCAATTGACACTCCTGTCTATGGCATCAGTAATCTCCCTATGCTCCAGTCATGAGTTTCCAAGGCTATGGAAGCCCTCTGAGTTCTCCAACTCTTATCTTGTTTAGACAAGCTCATAGTCAAAGTGGAGGTTCTCTCCTCCCTTCAGAGAAAGGTACCTCCTTCTTTGATGGCCTGTTCTTTCCACTGGGATCTCACTCGCAGAGATCTTTTGCCAGAGTGTCTTGGCTTTCCATGCCTGAAATACTCTCATGAGCTTTTCAGCCAGCTCCAAATGCCTTTAGGGCTGATTCTGAGACCAGAGTGCTATTTAGGACATCTGCCATTCTATGAGTCTGCTGAGTATCTCACTTCCCATGTTGGATCACTCTCCCCTTTATTTACTCCATCAGTTAGCGTTAGCAGGTACTAGACTTGTCTATGTGCTTCCTTTGACTCCCAGTCCCTTCACCATGACCAACTGTGAACTGAAACTGATCACCTGGAACAGTGAGATGGCATTGGTACATGCCACCTCGATGGGATTGAATTGGAATCCCCTGGTATGCTTCCAACTCCACCACTTGGGGCAAGTCAGCCTGAGCATGTCCCAAATTATACATCTCTTCCCTCTCCCATTCCCACCACCATGTTCAACAGGGATCACATTTCAGTTAATTTTCAACACTTAAGAATAACTGTGCATCAATTACAGATCTAAACCAGTCATATTAAGTAGAACAGATAAAAAAACTACTAAGAGGGATAATGTATTTAGTTGTTCATTAACAGTCAGGGCTATGCTGATCAAGCCACCATTTCCCATAGTGTCCACCTCACTCCAACAGGTTTCCCTCTTGGTGTTCAGTCAGTCGTCACCGATCAGGGAGAACATATGGTATTTGTCCCTTTGGGACTGGCTTATTTCACTCAGCATGATGTGTTCCAGATTCCTCCATTTTGTTGCAAATGACTGGATTTCGTTGTTTCTTACTGCGGTATAGTATTCTAAAGAGTACATATCCCATAATTTCTTTATCCAGTCTATCGTTGATGGGCATTTAGGTTGGTTCCAGGTCTTAGCTATTGTGAATTGAGCTGCAATAAACATTAGGGTGCAGACCTCTTTTTTGTTTGCCAATTTAAATTCCTTTGGGTAAATTCCAAGGAGTGCGATGGCTGGGTCGAACGGTAGGGTTATCTTCAGGTTTCTGAGGAATCTCCAGACTGACTTCCATAGTGGCTTGACCAGTTTGCATTCCCACCAACAGTGGGTTAGTGTCCCTTTTTCCCCACATCCTCGCCAGCATCTGTTGTTGGTAGATTTCTGCATGTGAGCCATTCTAACCGGGGTGAGGTGAAACCTCATTGTGGTTTTGATTTGCATTTCCCTGATTGCCAATGACCTTGAACATTTTTTCATGTGCCTGTTGGCCATTTGGATTTCCTCTTTTGAAAAATGTCTATTGAGGTCCTTGGCCCATCTCAAGAACGCTAGTTTTAAAATCCAGAGTAGACTGAGTCTCTTCTGCTCATTCTCGCTCTTCTCTCAGAGATTACGTCCTCACAAATAGGCTGTGGCTCTCACTCTGATGTGCAACCAGCCTCTTAGAAGAGGGCAGATGGGAGTATGTGATTCCAGGCAAAACCTGCCAAAAATTGATAGTAGTAGTAATTTTCCCTAGAAAATTTGTTGACTGTTAATTTAATGGAGCATTAAGCCTTAGGTTATAATTAATTAAAATTTTATCTCAAAAATAATAAGAATATCAAGTTTAAAAAAAGTAAAACAAAAACTTGAGCCCTGTTCATTTAAGATCTTCCAAATAATTATTGACTCAAAACTCTAGCATTGCTCCATGAGAGTACCATGAAAACTATGGCCAACATTGACCTAGACCTGACAGTCGTCCAAAGCATTTCTTAGAGGTCAGCAAAAGGATAATGACAGCTGTTGTAGATTATTGTCATCAGTGTCTTGTACTGCATTTGTGAGGCACCTGTATAAAGTTTTATACCTGAGTCATTTCATCCCCTTAATGATCCTTTGTCTCATAATAATATAGTTGCCTCCAAGGAATTTTGCTTGTTTGGAAACACAATGATTATATTGAATAATGGAGATCTTCGGAAGTACAATGGAATGTTTATATTTTCTTTTGAGCAGTGGAAGCAACAGTCTTCCAGAAACTCTCCAAAACATTTTTCATAGAGATCTAAAGTGAATGAACTAGATGAGCAGTTTGTTGGATAGCCAATGGAATATTGTTTCCAGACAGACTGGAAAATACAAGCTTCTGTCTCTAGTCTGAAACTTTCAAAGACAGTATCTAGGAGGCTGACTTTTGAAATGTTAATCATAATGCACCTGAAAAAAAAAATTCAGGCTCTCAAATATAAACGTTGGAAAAATGCAAGGGGATAATATGATCTATGATGGAATTTTATTGAAGTTTAGCTATTTCTTATAGTTTCTTCATAAGAGAATAGCATAATACCTCTGTTAAATGATTATGAATAAGGAAAATACTGAATTAAAAACAATACCGTACTGGCAGCCAAAACTTGATATTGGAGCCTTCAAAGTCTCCTGATACTTAAGGAAGCAGATGAATTTTTCTGAGTCTACGTACTCTGAGGATGAGACATTAGTTCAGCCACTGCCATTCCATGTATTCTACATTTAAGAAAAGTTTCTCTGCTGTCCAAGTGTCTCCTCCTAGCATTGGCTAAGAGTGAAGAATCAGGGCATATAAAATAATTGCTCTTCAAGAAACTTAAAATTTTACTCAGATTTCTGGAGATTCAATTAATTGTTTGAATGATTGGCATTATAATGAAAATAGTTATAAGCCTCTGTGGTCTCTCTTGCCTCCAACTTTTCAAGCCTAGATAATTCTTTTCACAATCCCATAGCTGGAGGACCTGGGGGAGCAAAGATTCAATTTGCAGATTTCTTCCGGCTTTCCTTCAATCCTATCAACCCCCATGTTTATTTTATACCTTGGGACCAAGATATTATTAAATAACCATGCGTTAATTAATAGGCATTACAAGAGGGGGAAATTATGGAGGAAATTGTACTTCTAAACCTACATTCTCAAACTTCATTGCATCAGAACTGCATAGACATGTTATTAAAATACTGTTTTCCAACTTCATGGCTAGAAATTCTAATTTGATGCCTATGGGATGGGTTGCATAAATTTGCAGTTATAAGAAGCCCCAGCTACTCAATAGTGGTCCCTTCTCCAGAGTTCTGATGATTAAAGGGCATAGACCATGAACAAACACTGCTTTAACTGGCACATGGCCCTTCTCTCAGCTGCTTGAATGTGTTATTTTTTTCCAAGTTCAAGAGTATAGCTTGCAGTATAAGGGCATAATGATGAAACCAGATGGCTAGGGTTGTTCTGTGAAAGATCTATTACTTATTTTCTTTCTGCCTCAGTTTCTTTAATTTTACAATGAGGTTAATGATCATACCTGTCTATAAGAAAAGTACT